AATAATTTAATTAATATTTTTGCCTTTTCGTATCTAATAAAATAAAATATTCTATATAATATATTTTAAAAAATAAATAATAAAAATAATTTAATTAATATTTTTGCCTTTTCGTATTTAATTTTTTATTTAATAAAAAATATAAATATATAAAAAAAAAGATATTTAAAAAAATATATAGTATTTATTTCGTTTTTTTAATATATATTTTTTTTATGAAAAAATATTAAGAAATAAATATATAAATATTATGTATATATTAATTATTAAAATATATTATGTGTTATTTAAAATATATATATATTTATTTAAGAAAAATATTAAGAAAATATATATATTTAAATATTAAATATTAATAATGAAAAAATATTAAGAAATAAATATATAAATATTATGTATATATTAATTATTAAAATATATTAATAATTTAAATTAATTTAGCTTAAGTCTATTAACGATTCATTAATGATTCATTAACTTAAGTCTATTATCAATTCAGCTTCCAGTTTTCGTCTATTATCATGAAATTAATGAGTTCATCCTCAAACTTTTCATTTTTTGAAGCAGTCCAAATATTATTTATTTGGAACGAGCACACATTTCATATCCATATACTTGTGAAACCAATTCATTTTTCTGCAAGACAGAAAAATAAATAGTTATTAAACTTATGATGCCAAATATGAGACTTAATTAAAAATTAAACCACATATTTTGGACATGCCCAATATCTGTTTTTGGGATTATTTTTTGTCCATGATGTCTTCAACGAGATCTCTTCACCACAAAAACATGAAACACTTTTGGCATGAAAAATTATTACTGCAAGAGTGAGCTAAAAGAGATGCCATGTCTTTCTATTTTATTTTTTTAATTTTTAACATATTTTTATGTCTGGAACATAACGGAGAGCCTTAGAAAGACTGTCTCTATTGATCTTTATCCAAGGGAAATTAAGGTTTTATCACTGTAATGATCTTGGGCCAATCTCAATTTGGGCCCAAAAAGTACATTTCCCCTATAAAAGGGGGCTAATGTATCTCATTATGGGAGTCTCTATTCATTCATTACACTCTCTCTTTCTCTCATGTACGAGCACTGACTTAGGCATCGGAGCCCGACGTCGGGACCCCTCCCGACGTTGGATTCTGCAGGTACGGAGACCATTCGAGTTGAAGTTGCCCGAATGAAATTCATTACACTCTGACAATAATGCTAAGAAGCCAACAGTTGGCTCCGTTATGGAGCCAACAACCAATTGGACAACTCCATATGGAACTGTCCCACATTAAAGTATTATGGGACAGCCCCACCTGAAGTTGTCTCATTGGTTGTTGGCTCCGTAACGGAGCCAACTGTTGGCTCTTTAGCATTATTGTACACTCTGATTAGTACCGATAGGTACCTATCGCGTAAATTACCTCTTAATTTAGGTATGAAAACTGCTACTTCCTTTAATTGATTAATGCAAAATATAAATGTTACTTTTCAAAATTAAACGAAGAAAATGTGAGGATAAGAATATTTTGCACTATTTTTTTGTCTGCAATTATATATATATATATATATATATATAATATATATATATATATATATAATTTTTTTAAGATCTTGGAATTATGATTGCCTTTTAACGTATCTACTACCCGTGTACTACACGAGTGTTGAGTTAAGAAATATATTATAAAAATTATTGTTAAAATAATGTTTTTTGTTTAAAAATTTGGATGGGCTAATTGATGAAACAAAAAAAAAAAGGAATTTGTAAATCCTAATATGAGATTGCCAAAACTAAGAAGGAAATGTGTACTAAGAGAAACAAAATAACAAAATTAAATATACACTTACCAAGTTTGGAAAGTTATTTATGTCTAACACCAAGTCTAACTCCAGAGCAAAAATGAATATCCTCCCTATATATAATTCCCGAATGCGTTGAGCCTACGTGACTGCTTCTGGTGCTCCGGAATCCTATTTGGCGAAGAATCATGCTTCGTAATTAGGTTTGAACAAATAATATTGATATATTAATAATTAATAATCTAAGTTCGGGTATTCTATAAATATTATTTAGCTAACTTAGGTATTTTAACATCACTTTTGCTAATATAACCCTTTAATTATTTGTAATTTTACATAGTGAGGACTAAATGACTAATATATCCCTAAATTTTGATTTGCTTCCTTCAATAAGCTATTGAATTATAAATGTATTTTAAAAGTTGATAATTTTTGTATTTCTTATCGGTTTTACATATATAATATATCAAATTAATCATCTTTTGATGATCTTCGATTTGACATCCATATTGTATATATAAAATAAATAAATTATATTTATCTTTATAATAATAAAAAACAATAATACTTATTAAAATTCATTAGAAAAATAAAATTATTTCTCAATTGATATATTGATATTTAATGTAGTTATACATTATAAGTTAAAAAATTAGTATAATATAACACAAATAAGTCGCACAAATAAAAATTATCATAATAAATATATAATAATATATATATTCTTATAAAAGGTATTTAAATTTTCAAACTACTTTTTCTCATTGATTTTAAATATTAAGAAAAAAGTTAACAAACATCCATATAATACACGGGTGTTGTACTTAGAAACAATATTGTAAAGCATAAAATTTCGCTATATCAGCATTGGAAGCGTGAGAATCTGTTAATTGTTCATAGAAAGGTCTATTACTTTTAAATTTTGTATTCCACATTTCCACTTCCAACTCCCAAAAAAACTGATCACAAAAGACAAAAAAAAACACGGCAATGAATAAATCACATTGTTATTGTCGGCAAATGATGTTAGAGGCATCCCAAATGGCTCCGACAGTTACCAACGTCTTCTGATACTTGACATCATCACATAATCTAATCTATCAGATCCAAACAAACGGTTATTGATAATAAATAATAGTATTACGTATTTTTGACATTTTGTGGACAAACGAAGACAAATTTGTAAAGTACAATTATAGATAAATAGCACAACATAAAATGCCACGACATAAAAAAAAATGGAATAAAATAAAATTATTTGAATTTAGAATTAAGTAAACACAACAATTTGTAAACAATTTTTTTTTTTTCAAAAAAAAAATTAAAAGAAAAATAACATCAATTATTTATTTTAATTATTATTATTTTAAATATTAATATCCACATCCAACTAATAGACACTAACAATTAATTAACTCATTTTCGACACGGAAAATAATATATTGAATAAAAGAATAAATAAATAAAATGAATAAATAAAATTCCCGATTCCTAATAACGACCACAAGATTCATCACCCGAGCGCACATATTTACCAATATGCCCTCGCCCATCAGTACCGAAAATCCCCATCTTACCCTTTCCACTCTATGCATTGTGACGAGGGCCTGGATTTATCCGGGCCGGCCTTGAGCGGGCAGGGCGTCTCTACGGGCAGGACCATGCAATTATACTGCAGACACAGCGACGAGCTCAGAGGAATCTCCACCGTCGGATTAATCCCTATCCCGCTCAAGTAATTATGCTGCAGGTAAAGCGTCTGAATATTGGCGGCCAGCAGCCGGTCCACGATGCTAGCCGGGACCCGCCCAATAAACCGGTTGTTGTTCAGGTACAGATTTTCGACCGTCGAGAACATTGGAGATATCTCGCCGGAAAGACGGTTGTAGCTCAGATCGACGGT